CACTCAGTGCTTTGAAGTTTGAAACTAAACTATAACGTGTTGCCCTGAACTATTTCATATTACAGTCATCTTTCCGGAACTGATTATCTGTTTCATATTTGAATATTTTACTAGAGAAAGACATTAATGTTAACCTAACGACTAAACTCTATGATAAACATGATGACTTCAATTTCCTATCGTCAAAATCCCCTATTTATGTAGCATTATACCATTATCGCCTGCATATGGAATTCATGTCACCCAGTTGATTCGATCCACAAGAGCATGTTCTATGTATACCCTAAAACTTGGCAAGCTATTGACAAAGAAATTGATGATACAAGGATACTAATAGTCTCGTTTAAAGTCAACATTTCGCAAATTCTACAATGCCCTTTTTAGTAAGTACAATCTATCGTTAAGACGAATGTTGCCTAACATTTTTCATATAGATTGTTAGGCCATTGTTTTCAGTCTGAATCGGATTTTCCGTTTAAGTGTTAATTACAAGGAGCACACAGTGGTGTGACTGGTCGACAAGGGATTCTTACTATATTGCGTAATCATACTATGCCAAAATTTTTCTGTGGAAAGACAGCACCGATGGTGGGGGTCGATCTCACGACATACTGAATGTCAGTCGATAACAGTGCCAATTGAGCCAAAAACCCTTTACATCAGGTACGGAGATTTTAAAGTACAAAAACGAAGTTTCAAGCATTTGACTCAAAACAAGATATATACAAAAATAATTTCAAAAATTTGATTCATTGGTGACAAAGATATTAAACAAAAATCTAACAAATTTTCGCTGCAATTCAATAACACTTCGTCATCTGAACTGATTCTACATAGTCACGAAAACGCATTTTCATATTTAACGTTTTAACAAAGAATGTAACAAACATTATGAATGACATTCGTTGTCTGCAAACAAACGAGGGATGGAGATTTAACTATACAATAGGCAGCATAATAATAATAGTGTTGTGCTTTGCATGTACTATGCCTAAATAGCAGTCAGCCTCTAGCAAGTGCACTTTGCACAACTCAATTTTATGTGTGTAAATATGTATATATACAAACTTTTTTCACAAACCGGCAATATTTCTCATAGATATATGTTCCAATTGGTAACCTAAACAACGTTTGGCAGGTAGATTGTGAGAATTTTATAAACTTTGTAACAATGTTTCAAAATTGTTCAAACTTTTGTATAGAATTACAGAGAAAGTCACATATCTAAGTACAAAAGAAAACTTACGATTTTTTTTTTCATTTTAGGGATTTATTATTCATGTCATTTCTAATCAAAATCATTCAAATAATATATATCAATCCCTGAATTAAATTTTTGTTTGTGTTATGTATCCTAAAATAAAATTTACTTGCTGACTTACTGTCACGGGTGCAGGAGCAATAGTGGATTAAAACTTTGTGTATTAATGCGCAAAAATACTGTCAAGAATTCCTTTTGAATTTTTGTAGAAGTACAATGCTTCAATCAGTAAAGATTTTATAAGGTTTTAAAATTCTTACATGAAATGTATTGAGATAACGAACAGTATTCAAGTTCAAAGGTCCATTAAACAATACAAATTTTGGAGCAGAGAAAAAACAGACCTCTAAAACACCAGAGTTGGGATCAGGTGCCATGGAGGAGTGAGCTCCCCTGCCGACCGGTCACACCCGCCGTGTGCTCCTTGTCATGATCGGATAATAAGGGAAAATCTGTCGACAATTCAGTGTATAGATAATGTATAGATAATGAACTAACAATAAGTATAAAAAACGGTAGTCAGCATTTGACTTAATGATAAATTGTATTTGCTGATAGTGTCATTGTATCGACCATAGAACTTACAAAAAGACAACTTTAAACGAGATTGCTGATATTCTTGATTCATCAACTTGTTTGTCAATAACTTATTTCGTTTTAGAAATTATTCATACGTAGACTATGCTCTTGCGTATCGAATCAACTGAGAGATATAAACCCTTATAAGTAAGGGAAGTTGATGATTGAAAAATTAAATTCAGCACGTTTATCATAAAGCTTGGTTGTTTGTCTGTTTGTTTGTATGTTGTTTGACGTCTCTCTCGAGAATTTTTCACTCATATGGAGACGCCACCACATGCCGTTGGAGAGCTGCAAATTTTGTCCTTGTACTCGGCACTTACGGCCATTGAGCAGTGAGGGATCTTTTTCGTGCCAGCACCTACTGCGACACGGGACCTCGGTTTATACCGTCTCATCCGAAGGACCTTTCTCCACGTCCCACAGTGGGATTCGAACCCGCGACGTAAGGATCAACTCCTTACACCGTGACTCTTGAGCAGACGCTCTAACCACTGCGCCGCGCGGGCGACTAAAGCTTGGTTGTTAGATTACCATTAACGTCTTTTTCTAGTAAAATATCCAAATATGTAACAGATGTATCAGACTCTGTTGTATCTTGTATTTCAAGCTCACTGGGATATATCGTATCGACATACGGATGGAAATAACCATTGTTAATTGACAATACGTCGTCAATATATCTAAATGTCAAATTGAAGACCACAACAAGTGTTTTCTTCTTTTCGCGTACAAGATTTTGAACAAATTCTGCTTCATATGAATACAAAAATAGGTCTGCTAATAACGGGACGCAATTGGTATCCATGGGAATTCCGATCGTTAGAAGACCTGGTCTCCTAAAACCACATAGATATTGTCAATCAGAAACTCAAGTATCTTTTAATATCAACTTCAGAGTACTTGTCTGTACAATCAGAATGTTTTTCAACAAAATAATTTTTCAAATGACCAATGACAAGGTAAGTAAATTTAAGTTCCATTTTTATTGAAAAAGCAGCTGTCAATGATATCAAAAAGCTGGACTTTAATTCATCGTGGGGAATGGTTGTATATAAAGTTGAAAAGTCGTAAGTTTTTATGTTGTTGATTTTGGTAAAATTTTGTGATTTCACTTTTTTTAGAGTTCCTTGAATTTTTTTAAGTATCCACATTTGATTTAAACCACTTCTCGAATATATTGTTGCACAGTACTCCTGAAGTTTCTCCTTCTGTAGTCTTAATATTTCAGTGAGGAGTAAAGAAAGAGGCTTGCTAGAATATTTACTGGAACCCGCTATGTATTTTTGTTTGTAAGGATTTTTATGAAGTTTCGAAATCCAATATAGATATGGTAATTCAAATTCATATTGGTTGTTGGGAATATTAAAACTATTCAAAACTGACATTTGATTTTGAAGAATTTTCTCCTTAGAAAGGGAACTATGGGTATAAGTTGGATTACCACTTGTTGAGTTAAATCCCATTTCCTCTAAAATACAATTTAAATAATGAGCCTTACAAACAAAGACGATATTGTTTCCTGCTTTGTCAGCAGGGACCAGTACATACTGATCGTGTAATCTATTTAATTCTTTTTTCACTCCTGAATTATTGAACACAGAACGATAGTTGGTTTTCATTTTGCCCCTCAGTCGCTTAATGCGAGATTTTAACATGTACTTAACATGTATTTAACATGTAACATGTACTTCTTCAGATTCAAATCTTCTACATCTGTTTCATATGATGTTTTACTTCCTGTACACGATGATGGTCAACTAACAACTAAACTGTACGACAAGCGGGATGACTTCAGTTTTATTCCATCGTCAACTTCTTTTATTTATGTAGTTATATTCCAACATCGCCAGTTTGTGGCGTTGATTCGATACGACAGAGCATGTTCTAAGTACGTTGTACGTTTAAACCGAGGCAGACTACTGATAAATAGATTGATGTCACAATGATTTCAACAACTTCATTTAAAGTCCGCAATTCGCAAATTCTATTATATATAATGACCTTGTTTGCAAACACAACCTATCGTTAGGTCGTATTTTGTCCGAAATGTTTCATACCAATTGTTACGTCATTGTTTAATATAAGATTTGACTATTCATGATGAATACATGGGGATGTGACCGGTCGACAGGGGATGCTTACTCCTCCAAGGCACCTGATCTCACTCTCGGTGTTTTTAAGGGTAACAGGTTTTTGTCCTATTCATTATTGTATTCTTTAATGGATTTATGAGATTGAATACTGTTTGTTAACTTCACCTTTTACATTAATTTATTTTCCTCAAGCATCTCTCCATTCATTGATTAAATACACTTTATGTTTATTTATATGATGTTGTATTTCACTTGGATATAAAAATAGAATTATCAAATAAATAGATAAGGAATTACTTCCTGATTTGAATCGCCAGGGAGCAAATATGTCTGCAATATGCTGATACAATATCAACCGTGTAGTCTTTCACCGATTTCTTTAAAATATCTACAGATCCAATTGTGCGCAAATTTTGAAAACTAAAGGATTAATTTTACGTTATTACTAACGGAAGTGATATGAAACAAACTTTTATCAAATTTCCAGACTTTGTTATGAAAGGGTTTAGTTTTATTTGCACTCTTGGCATTAAATCATTTAATTAATCTACCCATTCATATCCCTGCCTTCTTTGTAATTTGCTCCATAGTTTGATTATTTTTTCTTTGCTTTGTATTTGTTCTACATTTCCTTGAGTATCGTTTCCGCATTCTTTGATGCGTGATTTTGACTGTAGAATTGCCGAGTAGTTATTTTCGGGTCGCGGTAGTATTTCACGAAGATAAAAGTTATCTCTTTACAACAAATTCTCAGCTAGGTTGTGATCAAGATCTTCCTTATTGGGTTCGCTACTGGTCGACGAATCAGACTCCTGCATTCTCTGATTGCTTCTTGTGTTTTTTGGGATTCAACTGTATTCTGTAACATTGTAATTTACGCTGCATTTTAATTTGTAGAGCCGTGAAGAGAATTTTTAAACTGTTAATATATTTCAGATACATTAGGAAAAAGTTACGCTCGAGATTAGTGCTTTGTTGAGTAGAGGACATCTTATGTACTTTGACGCAAGTTATCTGATTTTTTTTTAATTTTGTATACTCCAAATATATTAATGGATGGATTCTATTTAGGGAGTGGCATGAAATTAGTTCTGTTCTATGTATTACAGTTATGTTTGTGTAGAAAAATACAATTAGCACCCAAGGTGAGTGGTCAATTCATGGAAAATGCATACAGAGTTACATTCCAGAAGTATTCTACGTGACATTGTCAATTATATTAAATCTTTCTTCACCTAAATATCTATTTCTATTCAGTATGATATCTGATATCTGATCAATGTTTCCTCAGGAACCTCAGTAACGAGAAAAGAGTTGCAAAGCCAAACATGCAGAATTAACTTTTCAACATCCTGGAAATGTCAACTGGTAGGCGTACAATGATATGGACAGTATATCCAGACCTGTGCAGATATGAAATATTGGTATCAAGAAAATAATGAAAATAAAGACAGGTGAGGTTTGTTTTAATCAGCGGTCTAGGTATGTATATTGCAATCTGCAGTTACTCTTAATGGGAAAATATTTAATTGAAGGAAGATTATTTTGAATCGTCGAAAACATTTAATCAAATGCGTTGTTTCAATGGGTTTTTTTAAAGGAATAATATGTATAAATTTACAGTTTAATAATTATACAAATATTTATTATTGTTATGTCTCTAAATATTTATTTTAGATATAATATACGAGAATCCTAAATATATATATGTATATAAATCACACTCGCTTTATTAAAATGATAATTAACTAAATTCATTCTTTTTTGAAATCTGATCTTTCTTTTCAAAATAAATTTTATTTTATCTATTTTGTAATTTTTTTTCTGTGCTTAAGCCCAAGAAAATATTAAAAACAGTATTAAATAGGGAAGACGTGTGATATACGTATTAAGGAAATACATATGTGTGATAAGCGATTTCTTAGGTGATAATTTAGAATGATAACATTTTTATCTAGAATAATGTACTTGTTATTCTTCTAGTAGTCTCATATTTCATCAATGCATTTAATATCATTTGATGAAAGAAAAGAATTTTTGTTATATTGAATTTAGGAGAAAAGGCTTACATATAAAATTATAAGTAACAAATCTTTTGGTAAAGTCGTCATTTAAATTTTTAAAAATGTTTAAACTGAATGTTCACCTAACTATCATAAATTTTAAGAAAATTTTAAGAAAACTGAAATAGATCGGTACTGCAGCCAAAGTGGCTCTAACTTTACATTGTAAATCACCTTCATATTAATAAATAATTTTTGAAGAAACGCTGCCTTAAAATAAATATGTCATGAAAAGATTAGTAATCGTCATAAAATATTCCATTATATTTTTTTCGAACACTAAAAGTACATTTAAAGTGAGTGTATTATTTTGGCGAAATAGAAGAAAATTTCCATAAGAACAGTGTAAAAATATGATAAAAATACGACTCGGTATTTGAAACCAAGACACCAAAAGTATTAAAAAATTTTACAATAATTTACAAGAAATATCCTTTATTTCAAACAATAAAATAAGGTCAAAAAAGCAAATACGTAAGGGAAAAAAAAATCCTGACCCGAGTTTCTATTTTTAATCAATCCATTAAAGCTCAATTTTCTCAATAAAGTACCTAAATACAAGTAACTTGTAACAGAGTAAATTGTGACCTTTCATTCTCGTATTAATTATTAGATAACATTAAACAAACTTATTTGCACCAGTCAGTATTTGCGGATAAAGTTACTTTTCCTGTAAGTTACACAAGGTTCTGATTACGTTTCCTAGCAAGATACCATAACGGTTATACAAATGTAGTGTGTTCCAGTATGTATGAAATATATGTGGGCTATATATTTTATAAAATCGATATCTAAGAAACTTGATATAAATAGCGAGGAGGAAATGATCTTGAAATCATGCAGTGGAAGTACTAAGAAACATGCTAAAAATTGCCACCTCCTACAATGCTAAAAAACAATTCTTATCACATGGATGCAGAATAATTAAATTTTGAACCAAAAAAAACACAACTTCTCAATAGAGACAATTTCCTTTTTATGCCCCCGTAATCGAAGAATCGGGGTATATAGTTTTTGCATTGTCCGTCCTTCTGTCTGTTTGTCTGTTTGTTCTCAAAAACTTTAACATTGCCCATAACTTTTGATTAGTTGGAGCTATGGCTTCATGTTTCACATGTGTATTCCTTGTGACAAGACCTTCCCTTGGGTACCAGCATATTTGACCTCTTGACCTTGACCTTGGAGTTTGACCTACTTTTGCAAAACTTTTACCCAACTTTAACTTTGGTCATAACAGTTGGTGCTAGGGCTCTCTTACACTGTATTTCACATGTGTATTAAATTTATTGTGACAAGACCTTTCCATGGGTGTATATATTTTAACCTTTTGACATTGAACTTAGAGTTTGACCCACTTTTAAAAAAAAACCTTGGCCACACCTTTTGAACATTTAGTACTAGGATTTCAAATTTCACAGGTGGATTCCTTGTGACAAGAATTTCCTTGGGATACCAATAATTTAACCTTGACCTTGGAGTTTGGCCTTTTTTTGAAATACGTTAACCTTCGCCATAACTTTTGAACAGTTGGTGCTAGGGCATTTATGTTTTCCATGTATACATGTATTTTGTATGACAAGGTCTTAATTTTGACCCTTGACCTTGAAGTTTTATCCACTTTTAGAAAATATTAACCTTGACCATAACTTTTGAATGGTTGCTGCTTGGGCTTTCATATTTACCAGGTATATCAATTGACATCGGTCCTTTCTTTTAGTAATTTCATTTTTGATCTCTTGTCCTTGACCTTGGAGTTTGAATTGCATTTGAGAAACTTTAAACTTTGCCATAAGCTACCATACGGGCATCAGTGTTTTTGTTTGCTACCTTGTTCGATCAAATTTGTTTCTATTTAAATGAGCAGGACATTGGAGATATGGACATTTAATCTCTTTAAAGTCCTCTGATATTCAGGGAACTATCGTATATTAATTTCTACTTTTAATGGATGTAAGGATGGTGTCTGTGGTGGCTTGGTCATTAAATTTTATTTTTCTGACTTCACATCATTGCTTTTACTTTATACCTGGACATCTAAATTTTGTAGATCACAAAGGATTTTTCTTTCACAACACTGATTAAAAAATTTTACTACTCTCTTATATGATAACAATTTGTTTGACAGAATTTTTATTCACTTAGTAATTTTTTTCAAGTTAGCCGTTTTTTTTTTTTTTGTTTTTTTTTTTGTTTTTTTTTTTTTGACATGTTCAACAGACACAACGTTAACTGAAACTATTTGTAGTAAAAATGTTAAGTTTTGTTAAGCGTCTATAGTTAAAGAGGCCTGATTGATGTCACTAAAACCATTTTTCAAAAACCTTCTTCTTTACTTCTGGGCATCAAGCGCTAGAGCTATTGGCATGGTTACACAAATTCACGGATATAGCAATTGAAAGTTTTTCGGGGTCCCCGGCAAAATTCTTAACAATTCTTTGTAAAATATCACGGTTATAATGAACTCTAATATAGCGAATTTAGGGATATAGCTAATTGATTATGAGTCCTGTACAGGTTAAAAATAAATCTTTTATGACGAATTTTCATAGATCTCAGCATTTGATATATTGAACTGACTTTATTTTTGTTAAGTATTTGAATACAAATTTCAATTCATAATAAAACCTTAGTTATCCAAGGTATGTTTTGTAATAATTGCTTCCTTACCATATTAGGAAGTAATACTTGAAGGAAAACGTGTATATTTCGAATTCGCCATCTTTAGTTATACGAAATCGTTATATGGATGTATATCACGAATTACGGATATAGCGAATTAAATTCACAGGTCCCCAGGACTTCGCTATAACCGAGTTTTACTGTATAAGTAATGAACACATTACCGAAATTTTAAACTTATGACTCGTAAATTAAGAGTAAGGATTTTAGGGTGAAGCTTAGTTAATAATATTGAAACTAATTACATGTATATGTCTCAGGGAATTTCCCTTATTTTTGACATCAAGGAGGCAAAATATTTGCATGCTTATGATAATTTTTATGCAATGAGCATTTTACACAAACTGTGAAGTTCAAGCCCGTATCGGACTAAATAAGTCATATGTTGAAAGTTCATTTCTGTTTTGAAAAACTCTTTACTCCTAGATACCAAGGAGGCAATATATTTTGCATGATTGTAATAAGCACTAAACCCTCTCCCAGAACTGGGAAATTTGATTCCCCTTGATTCAGGCCCCATGGTGAAAAGAAGATGGTAATATATTAAAGATCATTGCATGCTTAAAAATCCTCCTTACTTTTGGATATATAGCATGCAAACTGTTAATAATGATAACATGATAATAATGAACATGCAAAGGGCTTTTGAAATATATGTAACAAGCAAATTCAAAGAATTGTGGTCTCCGCTTTCGGTATTGTAGTGGTATGGATGCAGTTATTTTTGGCATATTGTTGACTGTGTGTCCTGTCTTGTCTGTCCATCACACAAAAAGATATAAATTTTGAATAAGTAAAAGTTACCGCCAAGATTTAAGTTCTCAAAACTGCATCAAACTTCAAGATCAAGGTCTTCAGGTCAAATATCATAATACAACCCGAAAGGTGTTGTTATAGGTAATGTACAGTGTACGTATAAAATATGAAAGCCCTTTCTTCTCTGATTCAAAACTTATTACCAATGTAAAACAAAAAATGAAGAAGACTGTAAGTTAAACTTTAGGTCGAGGTCAAAAAGTACATTCAGAAAGTCTTGAAACAGGTAATGCAAATGTCAAAATATAAAAGATAATCTCTCATTCAAATGTTATCAGCAATATTAATTTTTTAATATTAGATCAAACGTCAAGGTCAAGGTCATAAGGCTAAAAATCATAAACATTTAAAAAGTTCTTGTCACAGGAAATGCACATGACAAATATAAATGTTCTTTCTACTCTCATTCAGAAGTTATTATCAATGTTGAAAATTAGGTCAAACTTCAAAGTAAAGGTTATGGGTTTAAACGTCTTGTCACATGACTGGGGTCATTTTTCTACGTAGAAATACGTAGAAATTTGACCATGTACATGTCAAATATGAAAGCCCTATCTTCTCTCCTTCGAAAGTTATCACAAATATTAATGTTTTTGAAAATTAGATCAAATTTTAAGGTCAAGGTCAGGGGGTCAAAAATCATAACATGTTCGGAAACATCTTGTCAGAGGTAATGCACAGGTCAAACATGAATGTCCTGTTTTCTCCCATTCAAAAGTTATAACCAACATTATTTTTTTTAAAGTTAGATCAAATGCAAGGGCAAAGTCACAGTTTCAAATGTCATTAAAATACTTGGATAGGTCTTGTTATAGGTAATGTACCTGTGAAATATGAAAGACATATCTTTTCTCATTAAAAATTGAAGACCAAGTTTAAAGTAATGTTAATATTTT